TTCACTTTTTTTTAAGTTTTTTTAGTACCAAGGATTGAACCCAGAGGGGCTTAACTTCTGAGCCACATTCCCAACCCTTTTTATTTTTTATTTTGAGACTGAGTCTTGTTAAGTTGCTTAGAGCCTTGCTAAATTGCTGAGGCTGGTCTTGAACTTGTTATTCTCTTGCCTCAGGCTCCCTAATCACTGGGGTTAGGGGTGTTGCCACCATGCATGGCTACTCCTTCACATTTAGTTGGCATGTTTCCTTAGATTTCTTTTGGCTGTAACATTTTCTTAAGACTTTTCTTGTTTTTGATGATATATTTTTTTTTAAAGAGAGAGGAGAGAGAGAGAGAATTTTTTAATATTTATTTTTTAGTTTTTGGCGGACACAACATCTTTGTTGGTATGTGGTGCTGAGGATCGAACCAGGGCTGCTCGCATGCAAGGCGAGCGCGCTACCGCTTGAGCCACATCCCCAGCCCCGTTTTTGATGATATTGACAATTTTTTTTGTTGTTGTTCATGGTAACTGGGGATTGAATAAAAGATGGTTCTATTTTTGAGCTATATCTCCAGTCCTTTCTTCCCTTCTCTCTCCCTCTTTCTTTTTTTCCCTTGGTGCTAGGGATTGAGCCCAGAGGTGCTCTACCACTGAGCTGCACCCTCAGCCCTTGTATTGTTTTTATTTTGAGACAGAGTCTCACTAAATTGCCCAAGCTGGCCTCAAACTTGGGATTCTTCTGCCTCTAAAATAGCTGGGCTCATAGGTGTGCACCACTGTGCCTGGCAATCTTGACACCACATCTTTTTCTTTTTTGGGGGGGGTACTGGAGATTGAACTCAGGGGCACTGAGTTGCTTAGTGACTTGCTATTACTGGGGCTGGCTTTGAACTCTGGATTCTCTTGCCTCAGCCTCCCAAGCCACTGAGATTACAGGTGTACACCAGAGTGCCCAGCTCAATCTTGACACTTTTGAGAGGAACTACTCAGGTATTTTATTAAATGGTCAAATGGTCTTACTACTGAGCTTTGCTTATTTTTTCCTCATCATTACATTATGGATTTTGGGGAGGAAGATCACAGAAGTAAAGTGCCATTTTTATCACACCATATACTTATCCCTGTTGCTTTGACTTTAATCACCTGGCACAGGTAGTGTTTTTCACTGTCAAGTTTTTTCGCTATCAATTTTTTACTCTTTTTCCATACTGTGCTCTTTGGAGGGAAGTCACTATGAGATACTACACTTAAATAGTGGGTTATGTTCCACATCCTTGAGGGCAAAATATCACCTACACAAATTATTGGAATTCTTCTCCATAGGAATAATTTGTCTCTTCTCAATTTATATTTTGTAACCATTATTATATCAATATGGGTTCATGGACCTTTTTTATACTTTGGGTTATTTATTTTGTTGCTCACATTACTGGGAGCTATTTTTAATAATATATGTCACTATGCAAAAGAAACAGAAGGGTTGGGGATGTAGCTCAGTGGTCAAACACTTGCCTAACATGTTCAAGGTCCCAGGTTTAATCTCCAGCACTGGGGGTAAAAAATAGGTAGGATTATTTAACTTTTAAATATATATAGGGCTGGGATTGTGGCTCAGTGATAAAGTGCTTGCCTCACAAGTGTAAGGCCCTGGGTTCGATCCTCAGCACCACATAAAAATAAATAAAATAAAGGTATTGTGTCCAACTACAAGTAAAAAAAAAAAAAATATATATATATATATATATATATATAATGGCTGGACATGGTAGCACATGCCTGTAATACCAGGGACTCAGGAGGCTGGGCAGGAGAGAATGTGGCCTGCTGTCAGAGTCTGTACCTAGAATCCATTCCATATACTCCTGGAGTCCTTGCCATTATTGTTGGCTGTCCCCTTGGTTTACTTACTC